CTGAACCAGACGAATTCAATCAAATAAAAATTAAGTTCAAAAATAAAAATTTAATTGGTGTTATAAAACAGTAAAAAAAAGTTATTTTGAATATAAAATATAATAGAAATAATTCAATTTTGATATTTTGTAAATATTTGTGATATTTTAAATATTGTTATTTTAAGAAGATTTATAAATTATGAAATACGATTATCAAATTGCAAATTGCAAAATTAACATATTCAATTAATTATCAAAATAGGGAGTAACAACAATTTCATACGAACTCTATGATATTTCTAATTATAAACCTATTCGATGGAAAAATAATATAACTATTTTATTAGCTGTATTGTGTAATAATAAGTAATTATATTATTTTCAAACATTTAAGTATTATTAAAATTTTTTTTTAAGACTCGATTGAAATAAATAATTAAAGAATGAAATGATTCTAATATTATATAAACATAATTATATGACAAGCGAATCCTTAGATGAGTTTACGATATGCAATTTTTTAAAAGGATATCTTTTATTGCAAAAATCAAGAGACATTGCTGATTGTAATTACAGCTTCAATCATTGTAATGTTTAACATTGCCAAACAAGATTGATTATATACAAGAATTCAATAATTTGCCATAAGTTTTTTTGGTTACTTCATTTCGTCTATCTATTAATCAATTTATTTTAATAAATCATTTTAACTAATCTGTAATAGTACGATGTCGAAATTTTATTAAAAATTCAAAGATTAATGCTGTTTATGAATATTATTATTTTATATAACTACTTATGAATGTGGTAGTCGCATCTCTATTGTAATTTAAAAAATTTTTAATAATATAATAAAAGTTATTTTACTACAGTAGAAGATTAAATAAAAGATGAAACATATATACAATACTCTTATTTGAAGGTAAATGAAGGAAAATAATTAGATTTTATAATTAGAATTTTAGAGAAAGTGAAACGCTAGAATTAGACGTAATGTTCAAAATATTATTATTTCAAATTTACAGAATTGTAATTCGTATTTGTTACCATTAGCACGGATACTAAAAATTATAGGAATGTAATCTTTTTTATTCAAACACTATAAGAATTCACAAGGAGAAAAATCTTTAAAAATGTATGTAAAGTGTCACGTCAAGATAGTACAGAAGTAGATATGGGGGATGAGGGTCGACAAATCGAGCGAGACACGAAGTGTCAGCAAAATGCCGAGGTCGAAGAAAATGTGTATGGAGAGTAAAGACAAACCCTGCTTGTCAGCATGTTTTGAGGAACAAATGGGATGCAGTGAAGGTTCATCTATAGAAGATTTCAATATTCATGGCTTACTTTTAATATCTTTCACTTTTTATAATTTATATCTTTATATAAATTCCCTTACGAGGCCCATAATGAGGTTCTTAGATCAGTGATTTGACAAGGATTTTCCATCCTACATCAAATTTAGAAAATACATTATTGTATACATACATTATTATATTTCTAAAATAAATTATTGTGTATATATATAATATCATTAATAAATGATATTGAATAATATTATTAGTATTTATTTTAAAACTTAAATCTAATTTAAACAATTATTAACACATATAAAATTAGCATTTGTATTTTAATATTCCATTGGTTAAATTAAATATTTTTTAAGGTATAAAGATGTTTATTTCTTACTAAAGTTTTGCAATATTCAGCTTTTATAAACAAACAATCGTAATTTAAATTTTAATAGATAAATGTTTATAAATGAAGTTATCCATGTTTATTCTCATTTATATGTATAATTATTGATAAGGACATTAATTAATTAATTAAATTAGAAAATGATACAAATATAAACAATATTTTTTTTAAATAATGAAAGTTCTGCATAACGTGAAACACAATAAATAGTCAATAATCAAACATAAATCGAACTATTTTTATATCGTGCTATTTTTATACAAACATTTATTTCTTTATAAAATATCTCGACGTAGTCGTTACAAAAATGTTAAATAAAAATACGTGAATATTTTTTAGATGTATTAAATAAATAAAATATTTTATAATGAATAGAAATATATGTTTTTAAGTAACCTACCATTAATATTTATCGTATTTTAAAAGTTAATTGTAATGTTCGTATTAAATACACTCTTCAATTAATTAGAATATTTTGTATATATGATTACAAATATATTGAATAAATTGAAACAAAATTATAAATTTTTAACTAATTCTGAATAATCGATTAAATAAGTGTATTAGTTTGAAAATATTAAATATAAAATTTTTAATTTAATATTTTAGTCAGAATTTTCGAACCTTCAAAATAGAAATAGGAAATTGAAATAAAAATGCTATGATTTAGAAACTATTTAGACACATTATTTTTCTAATTTAAATTCAAACAAAATATAAATATAGAATATTTAATCTTAATTTAAAAATATATATCACAAAATTCAAAATATTTCTTACTCACATCTATTTACTATATTTCATTGTTATTCATGTAATTATTATAGTTATATATTTTTAAATAATTTGATTTTAATGAATGAATGATCAACTGACTCCGAACGTATAAGATTAATATATTTTCTCTTAATTCAACTTACTACGTTTATATTGAATTGCAAGCTAATTTTCTTTTCTTGTTATTCACGAAAGAACTTATTTATTTTGTGCGTACGTATTAATAATTCTTCTGCTATATGAAAAAAATGAATATATGCTTTTAGATTATACTCCAATTTTGTATTGTCTAATTTGTAAAAGAAAATCTAAAATTATAGAAAGTAGAATTAAATTATGACATGTAGCTGAAGAATCATCGGAAAATTTATAAAAATAACTGTTCTTTAGCTATTTCAATATTAGTACATATTTGCTACGTAAAAATAAATATATTTATATGAGTTTTAATTTATATATTCATACTCATTACAATATTCGATAATTCAATCATTTATAAAAACTACTGATATGGACATTTCGAATGAGAATAAGGAAATGAAATTTCGCCGCTTACGACGAATATGAAGTCAATAATGTTAACGTTTAAAATTTGTAATTTTTCATTGCTTTTTAATAAGAAAGTGTATTGAATAATTTAAAAATATATTCAAATAAAAACAGTTATTCTTTAATTTTATTCTAATAATATTCCTATAGCAAATGCGCTTGACTTAACGAAATATAGAAAAATAAAGAAGAAATCACACTCTGATGATCTTTTATCTAAACTTCTGGGACTCATTGTTCAGTTTAAACTTAGCTATGCTATTATCTGGATCAGTACTAAAATAAAAGAGCAAAGATAAAATAGACGGACTTTGAGCGTCTCATAAATCACACTATATTAAGTACTTGCTCTCGTCTCTCTTTTTTGCTGGATCGCAAATAATAGCAACGGTATTCCAGCAGAATTCAGTAGCAGCACTATGAAAGATCTTACAACGCGAACGCCTTAGTGCACTTTTATTATTGCCATGTGAAATCTTATGAGTGCTCGTGTACGTGGGTACTGATTGTTCCATCATTGATGCATTTTATATATAAAATTTTTTTATGGTTATATGAAACGTGTCCTGTACTGTGCATCGCTCCAACGGATTGTGATAATATGAGATTTAATATTAAAATATTCAAAAGTTCAAACTAAAATGCATCAAAACTCTTTTACAATTATACAATATAGTTAGAATTGTCCACTATAATATGCTCTTTTTGAGGCTATAATCGCATGCAGTATAAATTCGAGTAGTCAGATTTATATTAAATATCATTTTACCTAGAAAATGAGTAAATATAGATATAAAGAATTTGATACTAATGAATAATACAATGAAGTGTACTATAAGCTATACCGTTTACAAATTAAACATTAAATTTATATTGACACGTTAGATGAGCTTATATAACTATTAATAAAAGTTATACGTTTATTAAATACTTCATAATTTCTTATTTTATAATATTTAAATAAGTGCATAAATTATAATTTATCTTTAATTTAAACTTTACTAAATCAAAAGACTTTTTACGAGTTTGTAATTCAAGTAGCTTAATAACTTGGTGCGCGAGGTAGCACTAAAAATGAGATCCTTTGCTGCAGTAAGTCCATTAAAAATTTTATCATTAAGAATTCACGGAGAAAATTATTGCTTTATTTTTTAATTAATCAAATTTGGAACAAATATATCAATTAGGAATGCTTCGTCTATTTAAATAATTTAGTACGATATTGAAAATTAAACTACCCATTTATAATAATGAATTAGCGTTTAGAAAGCTAAAAATTCATTATTTGCTCCATACATTACGTTCACATAAAATTTATAACAATTTTCAATTTGATATTATTTATTCATAAAATAATAATCTATAAAAAATTCTTTAATTATAATATTCACCCAAGTTTTTCATTTAACATATTAGTTTTTCATTTATATATTCAGTATTTAATTTCTTAATTTTTTTTGTTAAAAATTACCATTCTAGAATATTTTAAACACTACCTGGTACATTTATTTGCTGAAAACGTAATCATTTTTCGATGAGTAATAATTTTCATCATCAATGAAATTATAACTAGAAAATATGTGGCATAAATACTTCTTTTATTATGAAATTTATGTTATGACTTTAAATTATTGAATATTTATTGAATATTTATATCATATGTGTAAAATATTAGATATAAGTTTTATAAGATACCTTCTTGGATAAAAATGGAATTGGGACTTTAGATTTTAACTGTCCTATATCCTATGTGCAATTTTTATAAAGTACAAATTATTTTCAACATTAATATTATCATTTAAATTAGAATTATTTTAATCATTTATATTAGAATAAAATTTGTTATCATTGTTATGAATACAAGGTTTTTTAAAAGTTGCATTAAGAAAAAATATCATATCTAATACTAAAACTTAATGCAAATTACAATGTTTACTATCTATTAAAGTGCGTATTAAAGTATGGTACATAATAAGAACATAAAATTCAGTTCATAGAATTCAATTAGTACTTTAAAGAATTATTCGTTAATAATTAGGATATCGTTTCATGTATAACACGAGAATGAAAAGGACTCCGAATTTAAATACGAGTTCTTCATCTTACGTAACTCAAGCACCGGTCAATCTCTAATTTACGTGCGTGACTTTAGCCATACGCGTCTCAGACGAAGAAAGTACGCTATAGAAAATATTCGAAAGATTCAGACGGTTAAATTCTAAAAAATACATATTCCAGCTTTGTGCGACTGCCTACTAGATCACCAAAAGAAAAGCATTATGAAGTGTTTTACTATATTTTCCTTTAGTCTTTTTACGATTTTTATTTTCTTTATTCGTATTTTTGAAGAGTGAAGTTTGACTTTCTTTCTACGTGGAGCTACTTATTAAATCCATTACTTTTATTATCATATATATTTTCTGACAAAAATTATTGTTGTTAGTGACAAATTTCATAAATAGTATATGGAAGTCATATTGCATTTCATATAAGAAATGTTTCTTCTTCATTTTACTAATTTTACAAGACCTTCGTCTAATATTAAGATATTTTTATAGTTATATAATATAGAAATTATAAAAAACTCAGACATTTGATAAATCAAGAAAGTATCCGAATCAAATAAATGATTATGATTGAAAGTAAATATATAACTTTTCTTACTGTTCAATCTAATTAAATATAAACATTACTTAAAATTTCTATTAAAATAATCATATTCTACATATCATTCATCCAAATTATATAATTTTAATCGTCTTATAATTATTAAAATAATAAAATAGATAAATGACAATTTTTTTAAAGAAAATGTTCTGCAGTAATTATTATTTCCCATTAAAAGAAAATCCAAATGAAATATGCTAGGTCATTGATTAAACAGAAGTTAAAAAATTCAAATACCTATCTGTATTATTTCTAATTTAAATTATGTAAAGGTTAAATTTTTGAATTATTTGCTCTTTTAATTTATAAAATTAATATCTCTGAAATTTTGTATAACTATATTTATTTATAATGCGTAGTGTATATGTATTTTTCATACTATTTTATTTTACTAATCAAATATAAATAATGATTTTAAAAACAAATTTTTTTATTAAATATATAAAGTGAAACGAATAATTTACAAAAATTAAGGCATAAAATCAATTTCGAAAGTGAAGACGAAGGTCTTCAAGTTTTACAATTTATTACTTATATTTTTTTTTTTAATTGAAAAGAAAGAAGTAAAATATAACCTCGAACAAGTAATTATAGATTCGCATCGCAATACTTGATGTTAC